AATAATTCTTCTGTTTCAAAGAACATCTTTCCCAGTCTTATATTGTGTTGTGATAATTTAATAGAACCCCATGTACTTTGGCATGAATGCTGAGCACAATAGAGCCAAACTTTATGCTAATACTGTAGCTTCCCACAGGAATCTTCAATCTAAAAGTTATATAGTAAATCTTGGTTGGATGAAGTATATGATTCAAGTGTTATGTACAGAAATGCTACTTTTATATTTTTATTTATCTTTCCCTGTTATTCTATTACTAGAGACCCAATGCATGAAATTTGTGCAAGGGCCTTGGCCCTGGTCCCTGCTTGCTGCCCCAGCAGCCCCTACCCACTGCCACTGCAGCCCCCGTCCACCGCTACTGCGCCTGGGGGGCCTCTGCTGCCTCTGCTGCAGCCCCACCCTCTGCAGCTTTGTCCGGAAGGAAGGATGTCTGGAAGGATGTCTGGTCCAATTAGCATATTATGCTTTTATTATTATAGATTGTTTAGCTAAACATTGTTATTAACTTAATTAGGGTACTCTAAGATAAATTATTTATTTTGTTTAATTAGTGGTAAATAAAAATCTTAGTTCCATCTTCAGTATCCCATAGCATATGCTTTTTAAAAAATATCCACTCATTTATTTCAGCATCCACTAGAATATTTCAAATGAATAAACCAGCTTTCTTTTTGACATGCTTAGGAGGGACCCTGGGCTTGACTTTTTATGCTTTCAAATGCACTATGAATCATTCTGCCAAACACCTGCCCTTCATGGAAATGATATATTTTATTTACACTCTTAGAAAAAAATCTATGCATGGCCATTATTAATCACTCACACCTTTAAGAATGATCTTACCTTTTAGCTATTCATCAAGATCAGTATCCTTGCTGTTAGAAAGAGACACATCATAACTGATGTACAATCGAACTGTAGATGGGTCCAAGTACATGGCTGTTACCAAAATAGATGTCTCTTCATTTTAGTATTACATACACATGTGCGTGCTTTTACGCGCGCGCACACACACGGACACACACACACACACATACACACACACACACTCTGTATCTACTCTGGCAACTTTCTTTAAAATTCTAAAGTGCTAAAACTTGTCAGCTTTCAAATAATACATCACCATGATATTGAAGAGCAACATACCATTTCCAAAAGCTGCTCTCACCCTGAGCAAGGCCAATAAGACTTTGGACAACTGGAATTAACAAAGGTTCAAAGAACAGTCTATGATTTTTATCAAAATCAAGAAAGGGAATAATTGGTAAATAATTCTCTCTGATTATGTAAGAAATCAAGATTACTTTATAATTGAATCATATCTCCATTCAAAAATGAAAAAAATAATTTTTGCTGCCTTTGACAAAAACTGTAATGCATGCTTTTCATTAGTGAAGAAGTATTAAATGCATTCACAAAATATGTTTAAAAGCATTTCATCTTCTGGTGGACAATCTCATACATCTCTAAAATGTTGCTTGGAAATTAGATGATGCTTAAATCAGCCACAGGGGAAAACAAAACAAGTCAGGGGTTGACATACCTTTAATTCTTTCTTCTTCTTGAGCTACTACAATGATTTTTGCATTGGGATAAGAATTAGAAAGGGACAAAAGTTTGGATAGCTTCCCCAAAAGTTTTAGATAATATAGCAAAATGAGGTAGAAAGTGCTGCAGAGTGAGATTCTTATAGCACGACATCTATCCTCAAATATGCATAACCTTAGAAATATCACTAAACTAAATATGAGAGAGATATTTAATTAGACTGGTAGTTCTTTAAGATTACAAGATAAAAAACAACCATTACAGTAAGGCTTTGAATCTTAGAGTTCATAAACTCTATTTTCAACAGAATGTTTAACTTCCTGGGCATTAAGGGAATTACTTAATAGAAAAGAAAATAACCCATAGGGGGAAATGTAGCCAGCAGTAAAGCTGCTTAGGCCCTAATCTAGCAGAAAGGCAAATGATTCTATGTTCACTCCAAAACTCTATGCTAAGAGTTTCTCATTTGTTATTTTTCTTTACTGGCATTAAAAGCTTCCAAAGAGAAGGGATGGAATAGTGAGCTTGTCATGAGTATTCTTTTTACTGATTTCCTCACTTCATGGAAGGAAGATCTGCAAGACACAGGATCTAATCCCAATTTCGACTCCTGTCACTAACCCCAAGTGCAAAGGAAGGCAGCCACATGGAAGAAGTTGCTGCTGGTAATAGGGATGTATCATCCACCATTAAGTGTCTCAAACACAGAGAAGCAACCAGTCCTTCTCAAGGTGTACTTATTTAGTGAATGCTTACAATGTGCCTGGAGTTGAGTGGAATTCTGGAGAGAACATAAAAATGGCAAGCAGAGGTTCCCTTTTTCAAGGAGCTCATAGTCTAGTATGAGGCTTAAGTAAAAATAATATTATAATGTGACATGGGCCACAGAATAGATCTGAATACAATTCCACAGAAACAAGTACTCTTCAGAATTATGCCTGGTATAGATTTTGCACACATTGTGAAAAAGCTATTCTATATCTTTAAGAAGTATTTTCCTGAGAACTGAAATAATTTTGCCATCTTTTATGTTACGCTGCTTTAAGAAGAGCATCCCACTTTTTCTGGTATCAAACTAACAGTCTCATTCAGTGAGGATGTTACTCTAAATCATGATGAATTCAGAGCAGCCATGTTCATTATCTCCATGTCTCAGAAAGACAAAGGCAAGACAAAGGGGTGCCCCTCCAGGATCTGGATCACTTTAGCCTGCTCATCTCAACCATCAAACCTGCACAAGGTGCGCCCAAATTTGTCAGCAAGCAGATGATTAGAGATAAAACCTCTCATCTTGGGATAAATTTAATCCAGGCAGCATGTGCTCTTGGGTCATTTTATAAATATAGTATTTTAGAACAGCATACTCAGAGCTCCAGCAGTGCATATCTAGTATTGGAGTTAAAATATTCAAATAGAAATAAAAATAACTCTCCAGAAAGTCGCCGGCATTCATGTTTCCATTGGAGAATAATTACAGAAGTCGGTTTAAAAGCTGGAATAAGAGAGGTTGAAATACCACCTCTCATTCTCTCCCCTACCCCCCACCCCCCACCACACACAGACATACTAATGACTCATTGTATTATAGTCTTAAAGCAAATGTTCCCAAACTTTCTCTTTCCTGGATTTACGGTGTCACAATTACTGACCAGGGCCAGACTCTGGAAGGAAACAGAGATTCCTCTTGGACAGTGAGGAGATCCAACCATATATCTCCTGGGGCAGAAGAATTTAGCCCTGAAGGTTTAATATATCTAATCCTGTTATTTTCTAATCCTATTACTGTAATGTTGAGGTGAATTGAATATATTTCCTTCTTTATCGCTGTGCAATCTCACATTTCCTGCAATGATGACTTTTGGCTGACCTTACAGACAGTTTTGCTTATTTAATTCTTAATAAAAATATATACAAAATCTAAGTGAAATCTCTTTACAGTAACACACAGTGCATGTCTTCTTATGATGCTTCATGACAAAGCTGGGGAGGCAGTGACTACATATCCAGCCCATGATTTCTTGCCTTTTATTAACCAGACTTATTATTACATCAAAAGTCATGGTTTCCACTGACGACAGATTCAGCACACACATATTCACACTAATGTGTATGTTTATGTGTGTGTGAAATAGCTACACAATGAGTTATTGAGTTGTATATAGAAAAAATGCTAGGCAACTGCAAATTACAAGGATATAATGCCATCGAGGGGTTTAATGGTGACATCATAAATCACAAGAGCAAAGTATAAATGGACTGTGCTACCCCACAACCCTAAGATGCCATTAGAGCTGTGATTTTAAGTCATCTACTCTCCCCAACTACCATTCCCTCATACATGGAGAACATGTGTTATAATTTTCACCTTCTCTAATTCTCTCTAATTTCCCTCACCAACTTCAAACCTTTTTTCTAAACACAGAAAGAATCTCTTTTCCCCGCTGTGCTCCTAGAGCAGCTATATTTAAATGCAATAATGATTGTCCCAAGTTGAAATATAACAATTCTAAAAACCTTGCCATTCTGGGCTAGGTGTCACACTCGTGCAATATGACAGGCAGGTGACAATATGCCCAAGAATTCAGAGATTTCTCCTCTTGGATAGCAGTGTGCTTCATGCACCTATTCTCTTTTCCTCTAGGATTAGGAGATCTAATTACATGTAGTGTCCCCATTATGAATGCAAACATAGAAATGATTTTATAGTTTTGCTTTTTATTCACATCTGAATTCAGAGAATCTAAGTAATATTCTAATTTATTTCTTATGCGCTAAATGATTTCCCTTTCTCTCTGATGCTGTCTTAGAGAAGAATATATTAACATGAAATAATAACTGGCCCAAACTTTTGTCCAAATTTAAATATGTCCTAGCAAAGCCAGCCCCATTCTAATTGCTTTTATGTGTCACTTTAAAGCTAGGAGACCCAACCTCCTGGCAGCTTTGCTTTGGGTCTTAATTAGCCACTTAACTGCAAAGTGGTTGGCACCCTAGTCCTTTCATCAGTTATTACCCAAATAGCATCACCGACTGAGGATAAAGAAAAGAAAGATCCCACATGTAGCAGGTCTTTCCATCATTATTGCCCTTTCATACAAAGACGGGGGTTCCCAACTCTAATTAAGGCTACATTTTTTAATAGGCAATTGGCATCTTATTCAATTCACTCTCAGTGCGGTGTCTTAAAGGAAAAACAATCACAGTAATGTGTGTACAGTGCTATGGAATTTGCAAAATATTTTCATCTACGTTATTACTCTTACATAGTGTCTGTCTGAGCCATGAATTAATCCATATGTTTTTATTGGTTTCTGTGATTTAAGATGTGGATTTTATTTGTCTTTATTCCACTTGCCTGCATATCCACTGAGCTACCTAATAAAATTTACCAAGTCAGTCTTCAGTATTTAAAAGGGGGTTGGCATCTTTATTTTTTGTTGCAATTCCAGGAACTGGACATACTGAGAAGCACCCTATAAGGAGAGGTACTTCTTTGCAAGCCAAGGTAAGTGACTTGTGGGTAGAAGAGTCACCTCCTTCAAAGAAGACAAATTAATTATGAGAGAAAAGGAAAGAAGGAAGATAGAGCAGAGGAGTCTTGGTTCTGTGAATATAGAAATAAGCACATAAGGGAGAAAGAGACTATAGATATAGATCAGACTTCAAAATGAAGGCGAGGGTCCAAACACAATGTGACTTAATAGGTTTAGCATTTTAGGAGAATACCCTCAATTAATGATTTGTACACAATATGATATAACATCTTTTGTTTCACCTTGAAAAGAAAATAAATAACTATGGTGCCTTCCTAATAACCAACACTTTTTTCTTAGCCTATCCTTTCAAACTGGTTTCTTTAATTTATGCTATAACACTTTTTATCAATTTTAAATGCAGGTACCATAGCCTGTCATTTTAAATCAGAAGGAATTATGTGAACTCAAAACTTCCCTGACTATCTGAAAGACAGAGTGCTCGAGACTTTGCACATCCCAAATTTCCTCTGCCCATCACAGCCCATGGAGCTGAGAACCGAATCTACAGACTGACCACTAATGATATTCGTCCAGGCTCTGTGTTTTTGAAAACTGGGAAATAGGGAATTATGTTTATGAGATTCATTTCTAAACTGCACTATAGCTTATAAAATATTAGTATTTACAATATCCTGGAACAACAAACACAGCATGGAGGCAGCTGCCTCATCAGACACTGAGCCACAGTGATCTCAGACATTTGTCTATTTATCATGGACTGGATTTCCTTGGCAAACAGTTCAATAAGAAAGACGAGCACAGCAGTTCAACATTATGCTTGTGGTGAAACTTGCCCATCAATGCCAAGTAGTACTCCTACTTGGTAAGCCTGTTGCCTTTAAGTTTAAGTGTGAATAGCAACGTGGAACTGAGATCAAATGAACTCAGTCCTTTGATTAAATGGGAAATGAGAGGTATTTTGAAGAGAACACTTTTTTTTTCCTGCCAATGTAGGCAGTATCTACAATTAAATCTCAAAACGAGCAGATGTGTGCTTACAGGAAAGATTTGAAAGAAAAATCATTAGGGACTATTATGTTTCAGCTATCCCAAAACAAACTTGTTCCTGTGAAATATATGAGTTATTAACTCTGCCAACACTAGAGCTTTTTCCCTCCCATAAGTTATTATAGAGAACCTGGTTTTTAAGTGTATTATGCATTTGAATTTGTCCAACAAGTATTCTTTTTCTAAATAAAAATTCGGTAATTTACTGGAAGAGGTTGATGATCATGGAATTGCTGTGAATTACTCAGCTAACAAAGGATTTAATTTTTTATATCAAACAAATCAGCACTTTACCTAGTTCCTTTCACATAGCAGGTATGGAATAAAATCTTACCTAATAATAGACAAACATGTAAATTAACCATCCCTCTGCTATGCTCACCAGCCAATCAGGAGAGTATGCAAATTAACCCAACAAAGATGGTGGTTAATTTGCATACGTAGGGGCAAAGCGGCAGAGCCAAGACTGAAGGCTCTGTCTGGAGCCACGAAGACTGAAGGCTCTGTCCGGAGCAAAGGCCTGGGTCCCAGGTGCCGGAGGAAAACTGGTGCCGGCAGCCAGGGGAAGGGAAGGACTATTGCACAAATCTCTTCGTGCAATGGGCCTCTAGTCTATATATATCTATATAAAAGGCTAATATGCTAAGTGTTCTTCTGCCCTTCTGACCAGTCTCTATGATGAGCACTAACAACCAGGGGGCAGATGCTCAATGCAGGAGCTGCCGAGTTGCAGTGACTTGGCAGTGGCAGTTCTTGAATAACGCACCCGAAAACCAGAGCGAAGGGAGCCCGATTCCTCGCGGGGCTGCGCAATTATACCTTTGGCCATGGGTTATGTTGTTGCTGGGGCACTGTCTGTCCTGAATCTGGTTTACTGCAAACTTGTGTTTGTGTTCCATTCCCTGTACGATAGCAACTTTGCAGAGTGCCCTCTCGCACTCCGGGACCCCTCTGGGGATGTTGGAGAGCCAGTTTTGGCCTGATCCCTGCAGGCCAGCCCAAGGGACCCCAACTGCCTGAGGGACCCGGCTCATTGGGTAGACACATGTCAAGCCACAGCACCACCTAGTGCGCTGGCCGGGGAGGGACCCCTGGAGGTTGGCTCCAGGGCATGTCTGGCTCATCTTGCTCAGTCCTGCCCTGCCGGCCACCTTCTAATTAATTTCCTTTCAATGTACACAAATCTGTGCACTGGGTGCTAGTGTTTGAATAAACAAAATAGATGAGAAGAACTTGTTCTAATAAGAGAATATTTTTAGTTAATGCTACATGGCTCCGTCTTTGATATCTAAATAATTTATTTTAAACAGTTCAAAAGGAAGAATACTGCCCTGACCAGTTTGGCTCGGTGAATAGAGCGTCGGCCTGTGGACTGAAGGGTCCCGGGTTCGATTCCGGTCAAGGGCATGTACCTTGGTTGCGGGCATATCCCCAGTAGGTGGTGTGCAGGAGGCAGCTGATCGATGTTTCTCTCTCATCGATGTTTCTAACTCTCTGTCCCGCTCTCTTCCTCTCTGTAAAAAATCAATAAAATATATTTTTTTTAAAAAAAGGAAGAACACTTTTATTTTTATTTAACTACCAGAATAATTCCACAGTGCAGCTGCTTACCCACAAAGAACCTTAGATTAAGGAATATCCACCTAAAATTAATGTGTAGCCAAGAATGTAAAAAAAAAAATCTTAGTGTGTCTGAGTATTCATTAGTGCTTCAATGTGGTAGACATTACCCTGAAAAATAAAATGGACAGTCTCTTTCCCTTTATCTAGATTGAGTTTATTCTGGCCAAAAACCACATTCCAGAGTTTTTCTAATCTCTTTATTGGTGGGTTCATTTGTGAGCAGCCATAACAGTTGGCTGAGGTCAGAAAGTCAGCATTACAGTGCTTCCAGTCTCTTGGGAGTTATAATTTTTATATAAAAATGGAGGTTATTCAGGGTGGTTTTCTCCCCCAGCTGCTTTTAAGCAGACAGTAATGCTGGCCACCCAGTGGATGAGACCAGGATGGGTGGAAGTGAAAGAAACTATTTGACGTGACTCAAAAGGAAAAAATGCAAAGTTCTTAGGGAAAATTCTGTCATGGCAAGAGGCCATGAAATGGTTGTCCTAAGCAATTTATGTTGTATTTCAGATTATAAGCCTACCTCTGGTGATCAGCTCTTAAAAATGAACACAAAACAGAAGACAGCTTTGAGAGGTGCTGTAGAAAGGGGAAGGTATGTATTAAGGCTATGTCAAGTTCATAGAATAAAGAAAATAGATGAATCCTATCTCATAAATATTTTAAATTTTTTTTACATTCTATTTTGAAGGGTATTGAAATGTCAATGAATAATTTAATATTAATTGAGTAAAACTTATGTAAGCTATTCTATTCACATGATTTTATAAAACTGAATTTATAAAAGTGACTTATATAAATAGACTATTGAGTATAATTGCTCTAAATATTAGAAGTAATAAAAGATTGGAAGATATTGTGATTTTATGATTTGATTTTGTTCATAAATGAATCAGTATCTTTTCTTTAAATCACCAATTAAAACTTTAATTAAACCTTGGCTAACATGGTAAAATTTATTTTATCAGGTTGCCATTAAGAGTATATACATGCCTATTCTTATTATGTTACTTAGAATATAAGATTTATGAGATTAGGAAAATAGGCTTATTTACTACTATATCCCTAGCACCTAGAACAGTTCCTGACAAATATTAAATATTAGATAAATTGCTGAATAAATGCACCTAAATCATTTTTCTGACCAGAGACAGACAAACTCCAAAACCAAAACAAATGAAAACCAATCATACAAAAACAAGCACTGTAAGGTAGAACCCCAAAATTTCAATGTTTTAGTAGTTTACCCAGTGATTCTGATGATCATCTAATTTTTGTAAACACCGAGTGCATCCAGTTTGGTTCTATGTATTAGTAACCACAAATGAGCTCACAGATATGGAACTCAATTTAAAAAAAAAAAAGAATGTGAATATCTTTATAAGAGGCACACTGTGGTAAGCCACTGCTTGCTGATACTATCATGAGAGTGCACCAAGGAACACGGAAGGCCGATGGACCTTGGGTTTTAGCAGGGCTGATGCTAAGTACCTTGTCTGTTGAGATAGTGCTGGCTCAAGGCAATTCCCTAACCTGATAATCCTTTTACTATTTACCAAACTTTACCTTTGATATGCCTGTATACTTTGCTAAAAGGCAAATGTGTATTCAGGAAAATAAATAGTGGACCTGGCCAGAAAGCTGTGTGTCGCTTCAAGAAAGAGGCTCCACCTGGCCCCCAATGCCTTCTAAATTCATATTTCTTGTATAGCATTTTCATTTGTGCATTGGCCCCTCCTAACCCCACTGCAAAGGTCACGGCAGCACACTCAATACAGTTATCTGAAATACATCATACTCTATCATTGTATTCTCATTTCATTTTGCTCATATTCCTCCCTGTCTGGTAAATAAAGACTTTTGGGTTTTCAGAATCTTAATTTATATGAAAACTTTTGTTTGATATTTATTTTCTTTATTTTATTTTTATAATTCTTATGTAAAATGTAGTGCATTTTTGAGATTTAAAAATTTGAAAGCTAAGAAACTTGAACCAGATGTCCTTTAAAATGCATTTCTACTATGAAATTCATTGAAGCCACTCATAATAAAAATCTCAAGTCTCCAATATTGATTTTACTTATTTATTTTACTTTTTAGGTTAATCCTCACCCAAGGACATTTTTTTCCATTGGTTTTTAGAAAGTGGAAGGGAGAAGGAGAGACAGAGTGAAAGAGACACATTGATTGGTTGCCTGCCTCCTGAATGTGCCTCTGAAGCCAGGGACCTAACCTGTAAACACGGTACATGCCACTGATCAGACTCGAACCTGGGACCCTTCAGTCTGCAGGCCTATGCTCTATCCATTAAACCAAACCAGCTAGGACTCTAATATTGATTTAATGGAGAGCGCTATGCAGAAGACACAAGCAAATTAAGAGTTTTATGCCTTGAGGGTTGGAACTAGATCTGCCTTCAAATGCAGGAATCTCATTAGTTACCTTAAATTTTAATGTTTGTGTGTTTTTTAAAGCACATTGAAAACTGAGACTTACCTCTTTCAGGTTACCATTGTGATAATAGATTCAAAAATCCTTTGTGTATTGAAGGAGTCTTTAAAACTTTGTGACCTGGCCTTTGCTTCTCTTTTCAGCCTCATCTCTCTAAACTTTATTCAAAATATTATCAGGTCTGAAGGTGAGACCTATTCACCAAAAAACAGAAAGCTCTCTGAATCCTACCCTTTTTGGTTGTTAATGGGAACTTCATTACATAGGCATGGTTATTTAAATCACTGGCCATCAGTTGACCTCCAATGCCTCTCCTGTTTCTAGAGGTAAGGCGAATGTGGGGACTGAAAGTTCCAGTCCTTCAGTCACAATCAGCCATATCCTTGGGTGCTTCCCAAAGGTCACCATATTAACATAACAAAAACATCGTTACCACTCTTATCACTTAGGAAACTCCAAGGGTTTTTATATAAGTAATGTATTTTCTTATATATCAAAATATCTCTACTCAAAACTTTCTTATCTCCAATTCTTCAACTTAATTCCTCTGTTTGTGACGGCCGTCAGAGTACCTGCATGAAGTTGGTCAGAGCCCCTTCAGAGCCAGTTGTGTAATGGGCACTGGGACAAGAGACAGGTGAGTCCAAGAGCTGGTGCATGGCGATACGTATCTTCAGTGTTTTCACAGAGACTAACACATAAGAAGTATCAAAAATATTTGTGGCTTTTTTTATCATCAGAAGTATACTATCAACACTGGTGGAGGAAGTTACCTAGTCTGAGAAGTTAAGAGAATTTTTAGGAACTTTTAAAATGGTGGCAGTTAAAATTAAAATGGCTGTAGTGGTTTGGAGAAGAATGCATAGAGGATGGCTTTCAGGCAAAAAGGTAGACTCAAGATAGGTAGTGAAAGTGAATAAGTATGCCTGAGAAGATAGTGGGGTAAGGATGAGGCAGGGAATTCTGATAAATTTTGAAGCACAGTGTACATCTACATGGCTTGGGATCTGCAGGAAGAACTGAGCAGTTGTGATGGTTAATCGTATGTGTCAATTTGACCAGGATACCCCGTGGACACTATTTCTGTGTGTCTCTGTGAGAATGTTTCTGGAAGAGATTACCATTTGAATCAGTATAAAAGATCCCCTTACCAGTGTGGATTTGCATAATCCAATTGGTTGAGGGACCAAAGAACAAAAAGGTAGAGAAAAGGTGAATTCTCTCTTTGTTCTAGAACAGGACTGTCCATTTTCTCCTGATCTTGAACACTAGATATGCTGGTTTCTTAGGCCTTCCAACTCTGGGACTTACACCCTTTAGACCGGGAGTTACATGATCAGATCCCCTGGTTCTCAGGCCTTCGGACTCAGACTGGATTATATCCCTGACTCCAGCTTGCAGATAGCAGATCATGGGACTTCTCAGCCTCTGTAATCATGTGGGCCAGTTTCTATAATAATTCTCCTCTTATAGATATCTGTATTTATGCTACTGATTCCGATTCTTGATTCTCTGGAGAACCCTAATATAGTAGAGTAGAGAATACTGACATTTTTAAGACTGATAATTTGCAGAGGACTAATTTGCGGCAGTTTTTCTGGGTTGTAAATGCAAGCTGTTGCAATAAGAGCTGTGAACTTGAAATATAGTGATTGGTGTTTTGATTTTGTCTTTGCCACCTAGAGCATTTTTCTTAGCTGCAAATGTAAGAGATGGAATAGAAATTCTTTGAGTCTCTTTCAGGATTGATCTTTATACAATTATCATGGCAAATTAGAATCTTAGGATTCTGTAAATATCTAATTGAGGTATCCTTAAAGGTGTGGAATTGTGGGCAGTACTATATAAAACTTAAAATAAAATTTTTATATGTGCCTGTGACTAGATAGCTAAATGATCAAGTAGCAAATATGTGATAGAGAAGGTGATCTTGCAATGTATAGGGAAGAACTATAAGAAATTGCATTTTAATATTGTCTAGGTAAGAATGTCAGTGAGGAAATGAATGAGAAAGAGAAGAATGGCAGGTAGATTTGGGTGATACCTACATTTTCATATATCAGGTATCTAGATTTATGGGAATGGACAAAGCTGTTAAAAATGTTAATCTAAGAATTTTATATTGGAGTCACATGAAGCTTCCTTCACAAATGAGTTGTATGAAAGGAAAATTTGAAAGAGTGGTTGAGTAGTAAAATGTAAACAACAATAAAAATCCTGAGTCCTTGGATGTGTCCTTTAGTTGAATAAAGAATATACGAGAGTAAGAATCTTGCTAATGTTGAAGTGATATGGCAAAACCAGTGTTTTGTACAGAGAGTTACATTAGTGACATATAATATGACATAGGAAAAAACATAGGCAGGATTTATTCAACATTTCAGTAGGTAAATTAAAAATAATACAACTAGAATATTACTTTTACTCTTTCCAAAGCTTTCATTAGCTTGATACCAGAGACATTCTGATTATTCTGGAGCTGACCTAATTATGACCAGAACTGGTCTTCATCTTGTGTCTGATAGAATGACTATCCTTTGACACCATCTAGCTACTTCCTCTTCTTTTTATATTTTTAATATAATGCTATGTGAAATATGGTATTTGTGTATGAATTTAGGGTAGATAGGATTAATCAGAGAAGAATGCAAGCAATGTTTTCTGTTCAAAAGATAAGTGTCAATGACGGGATGGCAGATGACTTCAGTATGCAAATATTTTGGCTTTCAGAGAGATAAGATGGATTCCAATACAAACTGCTTCCACCTGCAGAATTTCCTTAGTAAAAATATGGTCATGTTGTCTTTGGTCCACTTTCTTTATAAAGACACTCAATTTTCTTTACTGCGCTATAATGGCCCTGAGATGCATTCTTCATGACTAAGGTTAAGGTGGAGGATGCAGATGTAACACCATCCTATAAAACTGTAGTTTTATCCATCTGGATCAACTTCCATGCTACTAGTATCCATATGGGAAATAGCAAAGAAAGAAGAAATATGGCTTTCATTAGATTTGTAAAATATCCTGAAATAAAACAGAATAGATTGTCTATCAATTTGTTTATCATTCTGGACAAAGGAATGTGCCAATCACCCAAATATGTATATATATATTTCCCTATACAATTGAATCTCCTTGATATTTACATCTGGATATGTTGCCCTATGGAAAAAGTCTTTAAAAGTGATCTATTGTTTTTATCTGGTTCTTTTCTTCCACAACTATGGCATATTGTAAATTGTCTCGAAGAGTCTTGTTACAGTGTTTAGTTCTTTAATCTGATGTCAAACTGAAGGTTAGTTTGACCCATATTAAGTAAGGGTAGAAAAATAGAAAAGAAGACATTGGTGATAAACAGTGTTTAATTCCTTTTTGGAGAAAACAATCAACTCTCTTTCTGTAGGATAAAGCTGAAAATGGCAAAAGCTCACACAAATATACAGTGCTGTATCATTCTCGGGTTAATAAAAACAATTTATATGCAGGGCAGTGAACAAGAGAAAAGTTATGGAAAACATTTCTCATCCAAGGACAGTACACCAGATGTGCTAAGACTTATGGGAGCAATCAGAGGTGCCCAGTCTCTGCAGCGGGCCTCATTAAGTTAGACTGTGACCCAGCACCTTCAACTTATTAAGCTGTCTAGAACTTCAGTGATTAAAACCAAAGAAAGGTCAGATACAAACCTTTGGAATGTCCCTGCACGGATTATTTTCTTACAGGCACTAGAACTTCATGGAGCTACTTCTCATGATGCATGGACTTTTAAAAATTGGGTATTTGAACTGGATTTACCCAGAGAATTAAGAAAAATTTTAGTAGCTGGCACCTCCTCAAGTTTTTTTTCACAAGTTTCAAAACTTTAACCAAAATCTAAATAAGTATCCTTAGAAGATAGTTTTCCATGTCAGGACTGAGACCAGAGGAACAGATTTATGGAGATCTTAACATGCTCAGTTAGGTCCTAAAGATAAGTGAGAGTTGTAGCTACAGAGAGAGGTATTGGGAATATACTTTCAAAATGTTACAATTAATTGATGTAAAAGTTATGTTAAAGACTTAATGCTGCCCCAAGTCCTATTCTAGGCTTTAAATATTATATGAGTTTATATAACTTTTCTCTGTCCCTCTCCTTTAAATTTATCTATCTCTATATTATGATATCTAGATACACCACACTCTGAATACATTCATATGTAATATAGAAGCACAGGAGTATCGTGTATCCTATATAATAAAAGCCTAATATGCAAATCGACCAAATGGCAGAACAATGGGTCGCTATGATGTGCACTGACCAGGGGGCAGATGCTCAATGCAGGAGCTGCCCCCAGCCCGCAGGCCCCAGACCGGCCAAGGTGGGTGCCAGTGGGGGGCCCCCAATCACTTTGCCAGTCGCCCCACAGATCAGCCCTGATCACCAGCCAGGCCTAGGGACCCTACCTGTGCATGAATTTCATGCATTGGGCCTCTAGTATATAAATAAATATTATACATGTATCTAAGATAATGTTAAATGTTGCCATTCCTGTTGTTTTGGAGTTTAAGAAGTCTCAGTTGGATTTGCACCAACCCTGTTCACATCCCCAAGCAAGTTGCTGTACTATCTCTGTACCACATGAAGACTGTGAAGCAATTTCTGCAACCTTAGTCTATTGCCCATCTGTAGGTTTGGGAAGAGAAAAAATGGAAAGGACAATTTAACTCCTACAATCCTCCCCTCATTGTGGCACTTTCCCTTACCCCTATCAAGTGAAGAGGGTTTCCTTCAAAAGAAATGTTTGAAGAGTTTTACAATTCCTTGGAATTTGAGGGCCATAGGACCTGGCCCCTGCCCCCTATAGGGAGAATTTCCAAAGTAACACAGTGATGAGGAGAGAGCCCACCAGAGAGCAAACGATGACTGCATGTTGTGTAAAGGGCCAATGGGAACCCTGAGGAAGGGAACCTTCCCTGAGTCTTCTCTTCAGTGACTCCATTTCACTGAACCACTTGGGTGAAGGAACACCGCAGGGGCTGAACTACCATTAGCAGAGGTAACAAGGGAGGGTTCAATGGCAGCAAACTGAAAGAAACTTATAAAAAGCCACAAAATTCCCCATGGGGGGGGGGGGGGGGGGGCGGGACATAAATTATTCATGTTCACTCCTCCTCCCTATTCTAGGATTTCAGTGGGTTGGGGAGAAACTTTAATTTGCATAGATTTGGAGTTAGAGATAATCACAGGATTTTGTCAGGAACAGAGAAAGAGTTACCTCAACCTGATCCAGAGAAAAATTGCCATCTTCAAATTCATTATGTTTAAGATTATTTAGAACAGTATAGTTTCGTCAGAATTATGGTTTCCAACCTACTGGGTGATCTTGCATATGCTGTCTGAGACTCAATGAACATAACCCAAGCAAGCCCTGTGTGATTAGAAATGAATTTAGTCTAGATTCTACAAGATCAGGCTATTTTATCTACGAAGATCTTGGCATTCATCTTGCCATGGATGGATTCCAGAAGACCATAGTGATTCAAGTGTGGCGATATGGAGTGAAGTGAATATGGCAAGAACTTTGCCTTTTATACTGAATTAAGAAATGAAAATGAACATTGACAATGAGATTTAGAAGGGGGTCTATAATTTGGTGGGTCAAAGTGCCTATGAGGTATTAAAACAAAAAGGATATATAAACTTTGCCATTGGTGTAAGTGTGGCTTATCTAATTGTATCCACATTTAAAATAATATCAAGGTATATCTAATATTAATAATAATGAAACGTATATGGCATTGAGAATAAATTCTTCTGAGCCTTCTTGTGTTCTAAAGACTCAGCAATTACCTTTCATCATTAAGAACCTGAGAGTAGATATATTTCAATATTCAGAAAGATCTAAAACAACTATGATGTCTGATTTCTATGCTGAGGAAATGTAACAACTCTAATGTGACTAGCTGAGCATTCAGTTGCCATCTAAGTTTATGGGTCATAGTTTACTGTTTTTTCCTAAAGCAAGAATGTGGGCCAAGAGTACCAAAGCACACTAACGAAAAACTTGCATTTTAACCTGTGAAAAAATTAAATCAACTACCATAATGTGCCAAAGCTTGAAAAACAATTTTACATGGTTCAACTTAAAACTAAGTAGAAATATGTATGAGAGTAAATTTTCTCCGATGAAACGATTAGACTACACACATCAGACAACATTCTCTTTTATATCCTGTCATTTCAAGAGCTAAGTTCTAAGTTATCTTTTAAAAATAAGATAACTGGCAATCTATAATAATAAAAGCATAATATGCTGATTAGACCAGATAGCGGAACGACCTTCCGGATGTCCTTCTGGATGAAGCTGGTGCTGTGAGGGCCGAGTCCCTTGAACGAATTTTGTGCATCGGGCCTCCAATTTAAAATAATAACTTTAATTGACTTTAAAATTATAATATTAATGTAATTTTCACTGTAGACCTTATGAAATATAAAGAAAGGCATATTAAAGGAAACAAAATTTGCAACACCCAGGGAGAGTCATTATTTGTTTTGGTGTGTTTGTGTATACACACACACATCTGAACTATATAGGCATTCTGTTTTGGTCTTTTTGCCATCAATTTTCTGTATATTTTCCCAAATCATTTTTTATCCATCGAAGCACAATGCTTAATGTCTTCATATTATTACTTCAGATGGCCGTCGCTAGCACACGAATGGATATTTAGGTGGTTTTTTCATTTTTCTATTAGAACTCTGTACTGAGGATCCATATACATTCTCTTTTTTGGTAAACTTCCTATTCCTTCATGAAAAGTAGAATTATTGAATGAAAGGGCTGACACAATTTACATTTTGAATACATATTTACAAAAACTGGAGGTCAAAATGCTATCTCATGTATTTTCAATTTATATTTTTGACTACTCACTGAAATTTAACTTTTTTATTTATTAGAAATTAGTATTTATTATGTATGCATTTAAATTTTTATTTTTCTGCAGCAAGAATTTATCTTATATATTGGGATATAAGAACTTGTTACATGTTAAGAATTCTTACAATGTGTGCCAGACATGAGTAACATGAAATAAAAAGTACTTGCGTTCACAGCTTATTTTTGCATTCCAAGACAGAAAATAAATATGCAAACAAGGAAACAAGACATCCCTGTGTTTCAGACAAAGCCATTTCTTTGCATCTGAACTTTTAGATAGCAGTAGGGCTAGTAGGATAGAGAAGAGTGGTACCTTAGCTAATGTGGCCAGAGAATCATAAGGTGCTCTAGTTTCTCAAAGTTTTTATTTTTTATTTTCTTTTATTTATTTTATTTTTTAAATACATACATTATTTTATAGTTTTCCTTATTTTGATCTTACCTACTTTTGTCAACTGTCTTTCTTTGTATTTTATATTTTTGTTGTTATTATGAATGGGATCTCTCTTTGCATTATGTTTCCTAATTGGCTATAGCAGTGACTAACTGTTTTAATTATGTCTATAATTAGAGCAACAGTACTGGTGCTAGCATCAGAGTGAACGAATTACCACAGGGTGCTACTCAAATTTCCTGGGTTTGGGCCCTCAAGATTTGTATCTCCCTAACTTCCTAAGCTTACACTCAGTGTGGAAGTGTCACAGTTAGAGAACCTTATGATGATCAAAAAGCTTAGCCTTTTAAAAAGGATGTATGCCTAGTGGTAGTTTATGTTTTGACATTATACTATGAAACCTATACAATACTTTTAATTTGTGTATCTTGCATCTAGTGAAGTTAAGAAACTTTGAAAAGATATTTATATGTTTTAAAAACCCACTTAATATTACCCAGGTTGTATTTCAGTTTCTGAACTTGTTTTCTTACAGATTTTTCTTTCAAGAAAAAAAAACAAAAAACCGTGATTCATTCTGGCTGGATAATGCTGAACGAGACCAAGAAGCTCTCTGTGCTTTGGGACTTCACACGTGGCCAGGGAGGATCTGGATGGCTGTATGAGGGGGGCTGACTGACTGTGGGAACAATATCCAGGAAAGACCTATCTTCCTGTCTCGCTGAGCGTCTGCCTGTGTACTTCCATAGCCCTCATTGTTATGTGGGGGCCCTGACAGATCACATTATCCCAGGGACAACATAAGCGTCAAGGAGAAACTTTCTCACATGATTCTCCTAAAGGTCTGTCTGTGGTTTGCAGTAAAGTTTTGGAAATTTTTTCTGCCAGACATTCAAAATATTAATTACAATGTTGCATTAATATAATCCATTAATATTTTTTGGTCTAATTAATTTTTTCCTACTAAATTTGAAGACTTTGGATGCTTTGTGTTTTGGGGTCAAGCCTATATGTTATTATGTCTTTCACAGGCTGGGCTGAAAAAAGTTTAAGTAATATAACGAGAGACTATTGATGCCATGAGTGTCTACTCTTCCTATACACCAGAGATTTAACTTAAGGATAGCGATAAATGCTTGCCTTCTGCCAGTCACACACCATCACCAAGTACTCCCATAAATACACATCACTTCCTTCTGTATGTTCCCCTATCATTTCACACTTGACTATCATCGTGCTTAGGACCATGATTTAAAATTAATTATCTGAGTTTTCCTTACTGGATTGTAACTCCAAAAAAGGTAGGAAATTGCTCTTAATTTTCTTTTTGTCTTCTTCAAGCTTCTGTGTAGGGCAAGCATAAGTTAATTGCTTAGTGAGTGAATTGATAAATCATTAAATAATGTTTTTATTTTGTTCTCACATTATTTTTTAACTTGATCAACATCAGAGTCTGCCAAATGCTTTTATAAAGTATTTAACTCTATATTAAGTTACTAAAACGTAAACAATTTTCTGTTAAAAAATGATTGTTTTCACTGCGCTTCTCTTCAACTTCTGGGGTAAACTCATGTTTGGTTTGATGAGTAAGTGTATTTAGACATTTATCTGGCACGTTTGAATAAATTCCTCTATGACGATAGATCAGTGTACTGTTTTTAAAGTAATAATATAGCATGTGGAATTTACTCTGACAGCTTTTAGCAGCAGCAATAGCTAACACTCATGTAACATTTACTAGGTGCCAGGCTAGTAGCTAACTTAAAACTACTTGCCAGGCATGATTTAAGGACTTTATATATATTAATTTGTTGAATATTCTCATTAGCTCTGTGAGATTACCATTATTATTCCCATTTTACACATAAGAGAACTGAAGCTAGAAGAAGTGAAATGAATACTAGTACCCAGAGTTATGTAGCTGGTAAGTGGTAGAAATAGCTTTCGAAACTAGGCCATCTGGCTTCACAGTCTGCGAACCTGACCACGATGCTGAAGACTCTTCAAAGACTTTGCTATTTTAGGTCACATTTAAAACATGACCCTGAGGAGGAAAAAATATTAAGCGGTAAAGATAGAATTACAGACATGTAACCTACCTTGAAATCAACATTAGCCCAAGAGAATTTTATTGATGGTAACAAACTGCTAGAATATGAATCATATGCTCACATGTTAAGCACAAAATTTGAGATGAAAAGTAGCACACAGAGTGTCCATTGCAGTCTGTTATGGCCAAGCCTCATCCAGAGTCTTAAACAAACAACACTACGATCTGCAGTGTTGGTTTTTGTTGTTGTTGTTTTTTTGTTTTTTTACATGGAAGTGTGTGTGTGTGTGTGTGTGTGTGTGTGTGTGTGTGTGTGTGTGTTTTCTTTCAGGCAAGACTAATTAATTAGTTAAGAAAGACTGTCCACCTGAGTTTTCAATCCTCTTCACACCTCCACATTTCCTTGAATCTTGGCTGAGAGAAGGGGGTCCCTGAGCCTGCCAGCCCATCCTTTGTGCCTCTCAGTTTATCCCTTGCCATCTGTCTGACAACATTGCCACCTCTCACCCCAAACCTGGCCCCCTCATCCTCAGCCCAGCTTTTAGTCAACCTCACTAGCATGCTCATTCATTCAAAGTCACTTCAACTCCTGATTTCATCTGGTTAGAAAAAATGACATCATAAAGCAAATTATAACAGAAAAATAATTTTATCCACATTGTCATAAAAATGATTCAGAATAAATAAAAGTAGGAATTATTTCAAAGAACGGTAGGAAGAACCTTCTTATATGCCAAGTGTGTTTATCAGATATGTACCTCCACTCAGGAATTGTCTGCAAGACAATATTGTTACTACCGAAAGGATACCATCAAATAGTACCAGATATTATATTACATTAATATAAATTGATATCAAATTAGAAGGAGCTTATGTTTCTTGAGTGTTTACATTGTGTGGTATGTGCCTTACATATATTAACTCATTTGATCTTCACCAATTATGCTCAGATAGGTGTTATCAACCCTCTTCACAGATTTCAAAAAACAGAAATATTACAAAATATTTCTCCAAAGTCTCAGCATCAGTAATTTGCAGCAGTGGGATTTGATATTAGTCTTTTCCAAATCTCAAACTCCTTCCACAATACCATGATTTAAAAAAAAAGGGGGGGGGGTGATGAATTTTAAAGAGGGACTAGAGAAGCAGTGAGGGACAATGCCTATAGAGGGCAGGTACCTCGCTGGGAGATTTGCAAAGCCAGAGGGTAACTTAAATCTAGGAGAGTCTCGCCCTGGCAGGTGTGACTCAGTTGGTTGAGTGTCATCCTATGCATTGAGAAGTCATTAGTTTGATTCCCCATCGGGGTATATGACTGGATTCAATCCCCAGTAGGGGGCATGCAGGAGGTAGCTGATCTATGTTTCTCTCTCTCCAACTCCCTTCCTCTCTCTCTAAAACTGATAGAAATATATTTTTAAAAACCTAAGAGAGTCTCCAAATGTTGACAAAAGGGTGATGTCCTAGCCAAGTAGCTCGGTTGGTTAGAGCAGTGTCCTGATATGGCAAGGTTGTGATTTGATCCCTGATCAGGGCCCATGCAAGAATCAACCAATGAATGCATAAATAAGTGGAACAACAAATTGATGTTTCTCTCTCTTTTTTCCTCTTTCTAAAAAAGAAAAAAATCAATTAATTTAAAACAAGAATAAAAAGGTTCTGGGAATCTCTAGAATGTTTTCTATTTTGCAGTATTTCTGGAAGCTCGCTGTTTATGGCAGACTAGAATGAGAGACTGGAAAAGACTTTAAAGAGGATGTTGAAGTGAGGAAACCCCAGACTTGTTTACCATATTTATATTCATTAAGTTCCAATATTTTAAATTCATACTCCAATTGTTAAAGTTATTGTTTAAAACATATTGTTTACTACCAGATGGAAGATAGTGAAGTGAGTGCTGATAGAAACAGAGAAGTGATTGTCTGAGATATTAGAAAAGTGGAATACATAGGATTTAGCATCTATTTGAATGTGAGGAAAAGAGGTGATATTGCAATCAGAAAGGCCCCAAGTGTGAAACTAGATGATCCAAGAAGGGTGATGGGTTTAGTGTGTGGTGCTTGTAGGGCATCTTTGTAGAGATGATCGGAAGGAATTTTTGAAGTGGGAGAAAGCTTGTGATGTACGTGATGGTTAATATATACATTTGTTTAGAAATGATAGTTAAAGCCAGTCTAATATAGGTGGTTTTAAAGGGAAAGAACATACAGGGATAAAAACTGGAAACTTCTATTTAGGGAGCAGAATGAGAAATAACAGTCTAAAAGAAAAAGGCCTAAAAAATACAATTTGAGAGAGCAGCATCATGGAAGCCACAGGAAGAGAGCTGTGATGAAAAAATTCTACAGAACATTCAAGATAAGGATAGAAGAAAAAATCTTAGATTTGGCAGATTATTATTACGTCTCTGAGAGAGTGAAGCCCTTGATCAATGGAGCAAGTGGAAAAAGAAAACATTAGGAAATAGAGGCTCTTTTTTCTGAGAATGATCTTTTGAGTAATCTACCAGTAAAGGGAACATCCAGCAGGGCAGTGGTGATGGGATCAGAGGCACTAGCATGTATGCAGTCTTACCTTTTGAGGAAAAGGATCTAGGAGAGGGAGAAGGTGAGGGAGAAAGAAAGAGAAAGGGAGAGGGAGAGGGAGAGGGAGAGAGAACAGAAATGGTACATGACTATTGGGACAAGCTCTCAGAGGGTGGAGAAGGGTCACAATTAAATTACTTCTTTATCTTCAATAGGAGGGAGAGAGGAGAAGATGGGTGAAGAAGCTGAGTTTTGAAGAGAAATGGGAGAGATGTTGAGGAAGTTCATTGCTTCTGGTCTTGATGTCACTTAAGGTGAGATTATTTGTAGATACTAAGTATGAATTGGGGCTCCCTTCTTTAGGAAATGAAACAGGTTTATGGAAATGCAGCCAATTTAAAGACAAATTAAAACATTGATTAGGACTAGTGAGTGGCTGGTTTCTTCATAGTTAATGATGGAACCAGTTGTTTTGTTATAGAGCTCTCTCCAGTATAACTTGAAAATTCAAGAGCAGAAACACTGGCATTCCTGGTTTATTTGGGTTAGGGAGTCAGCCAACCTCTTTCTATTGCAGCTTCCAAACTTTTTTCAGTATCTTCAAAAATTCAGTAAACTATTTTCTTTATTGTTTTTGTCTACCAAGTTCCATGATCCTTATCTGCTTCTGTAATTTCAATACATAGATCACAATCTTTCTCTCCTTACATATTGACATTATCCTCTCATTTTTTCACAATTCACATTAATAACATCATTGTTTCAAAGTCCCTTGACTTCCTCAGCTCTATTTAAGTACATCTCATTTCACCTAAGCAATCTAAAAACACGTCTACATTTCACATGCCATCATCATTTTTCATAGCTGCTTCTCTACCATGATCTTGACCTGCAGCTTCAGATTTAAGAATCTCAATTAGTGAATAAAAATATACTTTAAATTGAAGGTAAAATGGCATGTATTTTAAGCTGAAAAATAATTATTCTGTAAGACTGATCCTCCTACATCCAGAATTCTAATACATTATTTTTCTCTGAAAGACAATATGTTAGTATGCTGATTAGTAAATATAAATGAGTGTGTTCACTTTCTGAAATGTTCCCTTGAGTTTTAAAATGGATACTACATAATCCATTAAATAATGGTCTCTATTGAATGAATATCTACACTGTCATATGTATTCAATGCACATTCTATAAACTCATAGAAACATTTCAGATATATCAAAGCCTTCTAGCTAATTATTACCATAATTATTATTTGTACAGTGGTCAGACTCCAAAACCTAGAATTTTACCCTGTAATACTCATATATGTAACATTCCACATATTACCTTGAAAGTGTTTTTTTAAATGCAGTGTAAATATTTCTAGAATTATACTGATCTTTGAGAACTTAAAGTTGCTATAAATTGAATGGTATAGAATGACTATTTTAACCAAAAACATAGGGCTTGTAGTTGTTCAATTAGAATTCCAACTATGCCACTTATAAACTTTGGGATTTTGGAAATTTAAGCCAAAAGTTTTGGTAAGTCTCATTTGCTCTATAAAATAGAAAAAAAAATCACACCTATAACACCAAGTTGTTGTTTAAACAATTAAATTAGAAAATTTTTGCAAAGTGTTTAGTACTTCTGAAACATAATAACTACTCAACATGTACCAGGTAATACAGTAGGTCCTCAGTTTATGTCGGAGATCCGTTCCTATGGCGCAACGTACAGCGATTTTCGCCGTAAGTCGGAACCACCTACATAAGCACCCACATCACTCACATGGAGCACATACACAGCAGTAATGAAGTGAAACAGTAAAAAAAAATTAAAAGAAAGATAACAATTCCTGACCTTTACTTGTGGTAAATAAATAATAAAAAACATAAAGCACATATGTACATATGTCAAAATGATGGAACTTTTTTTTTTAATAAATAAACTAGAGGCCTGGTGCACGAATTCGTGTACAGGTGGGGTCCGGCAGGCCCACCCTGATAAGAGCCGATGGGAGGGAGGGGAAGCAGGAGGTTGG